CCATGGTAAATGTGGTCAAAGCTGACAATGTTAACATTGTCTGTACAGCCCCAGGTGCTTCAGCTGCCTTAACGTATGAAGTGCCTCTGATCACGTCTGGCTGGAAAGAACACAAGCAGAAAGTTTGTTTTCAGAAAGGATGAGAATGGCAGCTGTGGGAGTCCACTGCTGTTGCCACAATCATCAAAGAATTCAAGGTGTCTGTGAGCTGGTCGTAGCAGTGGGGCTTAGTGCTTTCTGTGGCCCACACCGAAGTGATTTCTCCTTTGCCAAATGGTTTGCTGCCTCTGAACAGGCCAGTGTGGCTCTGGGCAGGCTGGTCTAGTAGCTGGCAACCCTGCCTGTGGCAGCGGGGTTGAATGTAGGTGATCTTTGAGGTTCTTTCCAGCCCAGGCTATTCTATGATTCTATGAAACATTCAGTGGTATTTTCTGTGCGGTGGGTTGAGACTTAGACATCTAGCACATGCCGTGTCCAATTATCTCGTGGCATATCTAGTGCAGCAATGGTTGGAGGAAGAAAAACAAGGATTGGTATAACTGTATTCCTGAGATTTAAAATAAAAAAAGCCAGGCAGATATTTCCAGGAATAAAAATAAAGCAGAATTTTTAAATACCACAGCTATGCTCTTCAATAGCCCGCATTCAGCTGCCCCTGCAGTCTACCAGAAAGGATAAATATCGTTATTTGGTCATTACGCCTCCGTGATAGAACAAGAAGCTTCCAGTAAAAGGTTTCTATGGGGACCTTACTCTGAGCCGCGGGGCGGAGCGGCGGGGCCCGGCTCGGAGAGCAGCGGCCACCGCGCTCCTCGGGCGCCTCCCCGCGGCCCGGCCCGGCACTGCCGCCACTCGCCTCGCCTGGCCCCGCGCTGGCCGGGAGGGGGCGGCCCGGCCTCGTGCTCAGGCCGCCGCGGGTGGGAGTCGCGAAGGGGGCCGCTCGCCTTCCTCTCCTCACGGCTCCAGCAGTATGAGTAGGACCTCAGAACGCCAACAGTGAGAGCACAGGGACAGGGGCAAGAAAGAATAGCTGCCAGGAAGAACCTGGTTAAAGGGAGCAAGACACCATCACACCTGCCCCAGGGGAGCAACGCTGCTGGGAGGCAATCAGCTGCAGCAGATCTTGTGCACCTACGTGAGACTTTACGGCCAATTCTTGCTTGAAAGTGTTCAGGCTCCTGAAATGCCTCACCAACTTTTAGTTTCTCAGACCTCACCGCTCTTACTCCACCCGCAATACACAGACTTTTATAAACTCTCTCCTCAGCCAGCTTTAGCAAAACACACTTTGCTTAAACGCCATCACACTGCAGAGCCCCATGGCGCTCCTGCACTTGGCATGCCTCTGCGCCAAGCAGGTGCCACAACACCACTTCCTCTGTCCTGCCCTCGGTCACTTTGTTGAACCTGCACGGAACTCAGTGCTACCACAAGAAAGCATCCTCAGAATCAGGCCCATCCTATAACATCCACATAAGTAGTCAAGAAAGTGCTATGGCTTGCTATGACTTGTCAAGCAAAGCAAAAGAGAGATGTCAAAGACAGCCTAAGTTAGATTATTGAATATTTGCCTTATCTAATTATTTAATTTGACCTCCATACACAGCTCCATCTGTAACCAAACCTGAGAAAAGAATCATAGCTCGCCATGGTTGGAAAAGACTTCTAAGACCATCCAGTCCAACCACCCACCCATCACCAATATTTCCCACTAAATCATGTCCCTCAGTACTGCATCTAAACACTTCTTGAACACCTCCAGTACAGCAACTCCACCACTTCCCTGGGCAGCCTGTTCCAGTGCCTGACCACTCTTCTTCCTGCATCCCCCACCCAAAGCTGTATGAGCCTCTGCTTCTTGAGAACATAAGAAGCAGATGCTCAGCAGTTGCTGGACCGAAGAGCGAAGCACAAGGAGGAAAAATTATAAGCACAGTGGTAATCCTATAATATCAAAATACATTAAAAAATAAGTTTTTGTTGCTTGGGGTTTTTTTTCTTCTTTTTTTAGGATTTCTTTGAACACTAGCATTAGTAGCCCTTAACATAACCACAGAAAAGGAGTAGAGAAAAGGATTTACACAGAACTGCAGCCAGCAAGCTCCTTTGAAAAGAAATGTGAAGTTATGCTATTACATTCCTTCAGAGATTTTTATGTCCTAAGAAAAGCATAACTTTCCTCTCTCCATGCCAGACACCAGGCCAGCAGGTTAGGTGACTTAGGGCAGAGAGCTCTTCAGCAGCACATCCCTGTGTGCTGTCCTCAGAAGCGGCCCCAGGGCTCGCTGACAGGATCTCTCTACACCCCTGGGAGTTGTCCACACGCTCTGTTTTCACAACTAACCACCACGAGCAGCTTAATATGTCTTTTGTCTGGTTACTTACATTCAGCTCCCATTACTGCTCCTGCTGACTCCAGCTGGCTGGGCTGGGTCCCCAGCATGTGAGCGGCCCCTTTGGCAGCCTGCTGCTGGGACTGGCAGGGAAGAAAAGGAATTATTCTAGCGTCTGCAGTGTTAATGGTTTTCCAGATGAAGCTGAGCTCACTTGGGTTAAAATCTAACAGCAAATTTGCTTCCACAACCTAACCAGCTCAAATGGAAGATGTCGCTGACATGCATCTATAAGGGGAAGTAAAATTACACAATGACTTTTTTTCTGTCCATACTTTATTGCAGGTATACATATAATTACTTATATTTTATTTTGAACAAGAAATTCCTTTCATGGAAAGGAGAAACTTTTACCATTAAAATAGAGTGATTATACCATGAGTATATTACAAATATATACAAATATTGGCAGCCAGTTTCTAACATCCACTGATAAATGCTTACATGTTACCCTCTACCAAACTAATCAAACCAAAATAATAAAAGGCATTCTAAATACAAAGACAAAAAAGATCTATTACTACCAGGAACATTTTTTCATACAAAAACTTGCATAATAGATATTCACAGTGCTTGTAAGGTATTATTTCATTCTCAATCTACACATTAAAAAAAAAAAAAGTCCACTCTCCCCTTCACACATATATTTAACTTACAGTACTGGAGGGAGTTGTGTAGACCACCGAACAATGGTCAGACTTGGAGATCTTGCCTTCCCCACCAGCTGTGAATAAATACAAGGAACGTGTACATACAAGGCAAAAAATACTCATTTAAGATCTAATTGCACTGCTGTCAGGCACTGGTACATTTTGGGAATCAGCAATGCCTGGGCTGTAGCATTTCACTAGTACTGAAAAATACCAAGAAGATACCGAGCTGCTTAATGGTAGCACATGCTTCAGTAAGCTTGTAAGGTTGAGGCAGCTACTACTGCCATCATCTTTGAGACACGTGCATGGATGTGAGCACATGGCACACACGTGTGTGTTTCATGACACCAAACAATGGTATCTTTCGAATTTTGAATTTTTTTCCAGTTAAGCCTTGCCAGAACCACATGCTGTTGTACGTCAGTATGTGTGGAAGAGCCTTCACTCTAGACCTCTCCACTTTTCTCATTGGAACAGCTGTCCCTCCAGCTCTGTGGTAGGTGCAGGAACAAGGCTGCCACCAGCCTTCTGGATTTTTGGGGTGCCCATCTCCCACAGCTTATGGCCAGACAGGCCCCAGGTATTGGGGAAGGCAGCCAGATAAACTCATCTAAATGGTGAAAGGACCTTTTGAATATAATAAATACACCTCAAGTACTCAAGTACAAAGCATTTTGGCTTTGCTTAGAAGGATGGAAAAAAGGCCATGGTGAATATACAGACTAGAATTGCTCATTACAGGAAGAAAGTAGTGTGATGGAAGAGGGCACAGTCAGCCAACTTGTGGTTACAGAGAGCTTGTGTCCATCACTCATTCATCAAACATAGGTAGGGTTTGTGCTGGATTCATCTATGAGAATGTACTGCCACTGCTGTCTCTTCAGTAACGCAGACACATCTGATGGCCTGATGTTACATCTCTACACCATATACACTTACACAGAAACAGTGAGATTAAAGATGTCATGGATTTGCAATTTTAACAGTATGCAGGAATGTAATGTCGCCAAGCCAGCAAGATCACTGTGAAAGCAGCTTGAACTCTCCTCATGTTCTAGCTTTCCTTTCCTAACTGCAGCCATCTTCCTCTTTTGATTGATTACTTCCTAAATCAGCACAACAGCATCATTCTGGTTCTGAATTTTGCCATTAAAAATAATCAGTTTTTGCCTGCAAGGTTGTAAAAGGTTGGGCACAGGTTACGCATGGCCTGGCTCTAAGTACAAGCTTCCTAAACACTGGGAATCCATGGAGAAGAGGTACTAAACAGTGGGGGAAGACAGAGAAGAAAAACAAACAAATATACATTTATTTGGATTCAAAAAGGTAGCAAGGTGTTCCCCACACCAGACAATGCTTTAGTCAAACAGCACAGCTGTAACTACTTTTCTGGTAAATGCCAGCACAGCCAGCTCCATGGGACTGAAGATCACTAAACATGTACCCTTGGTTCCACCCCACCATGCTTCCGTTATCACAGGCCCTACACTCACTAACATGACCTATCCAGCACTAGGGACTTCATCCATTCAAAGCAACTTTCTTCAGCCTATAGTTGCCTCTAAAGCAGAGTAAAAATTTCTAAGGAAGAAATGTATTAAAAATAAAGAACAACATAAAAGTATGATTCAATATAGGGGGCCATCATGCCTTGTGAAATTTTCCAGTCACAACTCCTGACTTCAAGAACCAGTTATTTACTGCTCTTAAGTTGTCCTCTATATGCTCAAAAGCGGCCAGATCACTTGTCTCATCTTTTCCCCCTAATCTCCCTCAAGGATATAACTATTCATTTACAATCACATTTATCATACACAGAACTCCAAATATGCTCAGAGTATATCCCGGCCTGACAGCTGTTGGCAGTGTTGCAGCAGCACAAGCTCTAAACAACCCAACTATTTGCATACTAGCATCAACATACAGACCAGAAGAGAAAGGCAGTAAACTAAACTGACATGGACCTTTTATATTTATTTTTGATAAATCATTTATACACAGTGTTTGTTTCGCCAGTTAAGTATCAATTTTGGCCTGCTGTTTTGTGGGGCTTTTCTGGTCACTGCTAATGGTGCAGGCCACTTCCAGTTTCTGCTCAACAGATACTTCAATGCCAACACTAAGTGCTCCACTCCAGTTGATTTGCCCTGTAGACAGGTCTGCAGAAGCGATGCCACTTACTGATTAGGGAGTTGAGTAACAAAGCTGCTCAATCTCCTGCAAGAACCAGTGACATCACATGTGTTAATGAGGTATATATTTCCACAATGAGCTGTTTCCCTGGGTATGGAAGAGCTCCAGTCTCCTTACACCACAAACTCCTCTGGCAGCTGGTCCTCTCCCAGAAGATCCAAGGAGAGGCAGTTCATGGATCGCTTCCCATAAAGGGCAGACTTGGTTTTGCAGTCTGCTGTGGAATAAACACAGCCATAGACAGCCAGTTTATCTTCCAGACTGCAGCCAAACGTGTAGCTGTGGGACGTGTCCGACGACAGCGTGGCACTTAGTGGTGGATGCCGGTGTTTGTAGAGGCGAATGTCATCCAAACTCTGGCTGTGCTGGTCTGTGCAGCTCCTGCCCTTGGGTGACTTGACCTGCCAGTTCAGTGAGATGGACATGAATAAAAAAGATTAGCTCAGACTGCTCAAGGATGCATGCTTCAGATTTTCCAAATTGTTCTTCCATTCCGTCAAAGAGCCCCACCAGCCTTCTGATGAAGCTGTGAAGCACTAAGAAATCAGAAGAACATTCAGCTGCCTTGCCACATTGCACCAGACCCTGATTTCTTTGCACTGTGTCCTCAGTGTCCTGTACATCGGACAAAAAACTGGCCAGGTATTAGCATCTGAACAATCTGACACTTCTTAGCACAACTGTGCAGTTAGCCTGGCCAATATATACATTGAAAAATTATCCTAACTGCTTGAATGCACCAAGATGGAATTAATGAAAGTCTCATGAGCTGAAAGGAAATTCAGACAGCAGTCATGCAAACTAAGGGGTTATGGCATCCAAAATTTGCTAAATGCAATGTATACTTTCTTCTACATAATGTTTTTCAGAAATGAAAACAGAAGCAACAAAATAGCAGTAACTTCCAGAGACAGCTGTCAAACTGAGCAGTAGTGATGTGGCCTCTACGGAGGAAATACCAATCATCTAAGACATTTCCAACTTTTCCACAGGATTTTTCTTGCTCTATCTTTAAAACCAGCTTCTAAATGCTAAGTTGAATACTTAATTTTAAACGAAGACACTTCTGTTACCAACCCAGAAAAAAGTGCCTCCCAGTAGCACTTCTCTCACCTATTGGATGGAAACCAAAAAACCACTCTCTCGGAAGTATCCACTCACTAAAGAAACCCAGAATTTGATATGTAAAAGTAGCAGCCAGGAGGATGAGATGCATCCTCAATTGCTTAAACAGTCCTTATGAACTCTTATAAAACAGATGCCTCCCAATCAATTAGCACCACAAGTGTATGTTGGTAAAAGCATTAATGTAAAAATGTTACTTTTAAATAAGATACATGCTCCTCCTTGCCTTCCTCGTAAGTCATTCAACGCAAATAAGCTCATTATGATTCGCACTGTAGCATTCAGCTTTGGAAAAATAACTAAGATTTTAACTTAACCTCCTATAGCACTTAACAGAGTACTTTCCTGATAAGTGGAAATTCCTTATCACTTCTGACTGGGTATAGTTAGAAGCATGAAAAAGAAAATAAATCTTAAGTGACTGGAGTCATAGTTCAGAGAGAAGCTGAGAGCAAAAGGGAAAAGGAAGAACAGATTTTTAAAATTCTTTTAGCAGATAAAAGGCTAATTTGGACCCAGAAAGAAAAGGCAAAGCCTTTTTTTTTTTTTTTTTTTTAAGTAAAATACGGCTGTGCTTCAAGAAGAGATACTGCTTCGCCTTACAAAGACATCTTAAGATTTTTGCTTTTTCCACAGTGCAACTTCTGATACAACATATTTTACCATATATAGTTGCCTTTTCTCAAGAGCTTGATGAAAAGAAAATGTTGACAACAAAGACTTTAGCACACACATACTATAATCACACAAATGATAATCACACAAATTAGAGCTTGAACATCTGGTTTTGCTCTGATGTGAGCTCCTCCTGGCTTCAGGAGGAGGAAGATGATCAAGTTTGCAACCCACATCCAATCTGCATGGATGGTCTTGGCTCTAACATTACACTGAAAATTTGCAAGTGGTTTTTTTCCATTTCCCGTCCGGAAGCCTAAGGCACATAATGGCTGACTTGCAAGATTCCCATGTTGGTCACTCAAAACCTCTCTATACTTTCCTGGATTCAAACATTGTTCTCATCCTATTCATGACAGCGGCTGCCATCCAACAGCTGTTCTTGGTTACACCATTTAAATCAGTCAAATACAGACTTATCAATTTCACCTGATTTACAGCTGTATTCATTACCCTAGACTTTGGTTCAAGGTCCACACACACCTTCTTGTGCCACACACCCACCTGCTGAAGGGACTCCACACTCTGACCTCTCATTTTTATTAGTGTGACTTGCACCACAGGCAGTGATTCTTGATTTATAGCTGCAAAGGAAAAGGAGGAAATAAGAAGCATTACAGGTTTGATTTTTACTGGCTGAAGAAAGTGGAAATAGTTCTCACAGGCCACATTTAAAAAGTGCTACCCAATAATATAAGCATACATCACTAAGCACCCTCAGTGCTCCGTGAGTTTTGCTCCCAAGAACATCTTTTTTGCCCTTAAATGTTTAAAAACAAGAAAATAGCTTTTCACCATGTCCCATATTCACCAGCCTTGCTTTGCTATGAAGGCTATATGTCTTAAAGCCAGACAGCTCCTGCATTAACCTACTGTCTATCCTTCTGCTGTAGCAGGTAAAGTTTTGTGGCTTACATTAATTCCTGTGACTAGCTCACTAATCTATTCTTGAATCCCTTGATTGTCTTGTTCATACAATCTTTTAAAATAAATTCCTTCACCACAAAAGATTTACATCAGTTATCTTTTCGTTATTAATGGAATAAAAATACAGTAACTTGTTAAATTTGGAAAGGGGAGATCTTGAGGAGCACAGAGGAGAGCAACGCTGCACTGTTGGCCTTCAATCTCTAGAGGAGTGGACTTCAAATACAGTTGAAGTAGGACAGTAATTAGTGCTGGTACTTCATATGGAGGAAGACACAGTTTCTTACATCTATCTGATTCCATTTGGATTCTCAAACGTCTCCCTGATGCTACAGCCTAAAGAAAAGCACTGTGCAGTAGCAGAAAGCCATCTCACCTTGGCAGCTAGCAGCATCTAGAGGAAGAGATTCAACAGATTCTCCCACAGTGGCCTCCTCTAACTGGTCTCCCTCTAAAGGCTCATCTACAGGCACCTCCTCTGGCTCATCTACTGCCAGCTCAATATCTAGGAGGAAAAGAGTAGCAGGAGAAGTGTTAGCTTTACACTTCTGCTCCAAGCTGCTTCACATTTTCTCCCTATTCTGCTGCAGAAAGCAGAGGCAGGCTTAGAAGTCATTCCAAATCTCTAATTCTTTACCATCATCCTGAGAGTCATCTTCAGCCCTTCCTTTGCTGCCACTGTCAATGCCAGAGCTACCGTAGCTGATAGTTGAGCTGCAGGATTTCTCTTTCCTGTGCACCCGGTCAATACCAAAGGGCTCATCCACTGACATTTCTACTGACACACGGTGCCTTGAGTCAGCCTCAATGCCCGATGTGTGAGAGCTGCCATGACTCCCCGTAGACTGGCGTGAGAGACGATTATCTCTCCTGCTGCCTCCACTGCTCCCACTGCCACGTGAGTTCTTATCACATGGGTCCAGGTCCATGTCCAGAGTGTCACTGATATAGGACTCCCGGTAGCGCTTCTTCTCTAAGGAAGACAGAAAGAAAGGCGGCAAAAATATCAGTAAGTTCTGGGACTGGCACAACCTGATGGTGAGACAACAATTACTGCAGCTACTGAACAAATAAAGGCATAAACAGCTTTGTATTCTGCTTGCTCAACATACAGTGGGATGCCCAGCCAGTTGTAATAGAATTACAGTCACACTTACAGTAAAACTAGCGTCTCCTGAGTTAGGAAGCAGCTAGAGCCAGTTACAATACAGAAAATACTGGCTTCCAGAATGAAGAAAATGTGAGAAAGCAGGAATTGCTTACCTAACCTAAGTGCTCAGTCTTTAAAACAGAGCACATTGGTGACTGTTTTGAGGAACAATATCATAGAATCGGGGAATACTCCAGGTTGGAAGTAACCTGTTAAAGACCATCTACTTCTAATTCTCTGCCATGGGCAGTGACACCTTCCATTAGATCAAGTTGCCCAAAGCCACATCCTGTCTGGCCTTGAAGGCTTCCAGAGAGAAAGGCCTTCTTTCTTAAAACAAAGACATTCTCCCTTTGCTGTTCTCGCACTCGTGCTTTCTGATCAGAGTCTAGCAAGGCAGAGACCATAAACATTTTTCACTAACGGACTTGAAACAAATCCAACATGTCTACTTCCTCACTGTCTACCCAATAAAACAGAAACACCATTAATTAGACAGGGAGCAGCCACTATGAAGCAACAACAGAGTCTAACATACTGTACTCTTGCCTTACCAAAGCCACCTGCTCTTTTCTCACATACCTTCAGCCTCCTCCAGCTTTTGGATTTGCTTCAACACTGGCTGGATATTTAGAAAGAGCCGATGGCTGTTGCTGAGGAGCTGCAGCAGGTGCCGTGACCTGAAGGGGCAGCCTGTGTAGTAAACCAGTTTCCGTGCAGAGGGCAAACCATCAGGCTGGATCTCAAACTTTTTCCCCTGCATAAAGAGATGTCAGTGAGCAAGAACATGTTCTCAGCCACATGGCTGAGGTAATTACAGCCCTGTGTGCATGAGTAAGGAGACTTGATATGGCAATTTGGGCAGGACAGTGGCTTTGCCAGGTCCCAGGTTGACAGCCCACTGCCAGATGGACGCTGTTCTGTCATACTCACCAAAAATGCTAGCTTCCCAATGTGTGACCAGGGAAAGTCATAGAGTAGCTGACGAACATGGTTCACCTCCTGCAACACATCAAACTCTCAGTCACGCAGGGACTGGCAGGTACTGGGTGGAGTCAGTGATGTGCAAAGAATTTGCAAACAAGCAAGAACGCCAGATATGCGGAGCCTGGTTCTCACAGGGGAGGCAGAGGAGCTGGGGTTGGGGGAGGACAGGGGAGCTGGACAGAGTTAATGCTACACCAGAAGTCTTTCATGGCAGTCTGTTACCTGATAGATGTGCATTCCTCTAAGGGTCAGGCCCAGGATAACCGTTGGGCGATCCTCCTTCTTATCCTGAAAGAACAGAAGAGCCTGGAGTCAAAGGTTAATCTACAAAGACCATGCTCTTGTTCTGGCACCTAGTGCAAGAGAGGTAGCAGGACTGCTCAACAGGCAGATGCCATCAGCTCATTTGCTTTTTATTGTTTCTAAAAAACACCTTGTCTTGTTGATCCCTGAAAAATTCTGAGATCAGAAACACCTACAAATCCCCTCGTGCTGAGGCTTCCAGGTTTTCAACAGCAGCAGATACCCTAAACTGCTCTGGAGAGGGAATCCTACAGCTTAAGTGATTTGAGAGCATGGACAATTACTGTTCTCAGAAGCAATTGGTAACAGACTCCCTTACTACCATACTCTGTCTGCTGTATGCATGAACATTTCAGACTGGATATTAGGAGGTATTTCTTCTCAGAAAGAGCAGTTAGATATTAGCAGTTAGGAACAAGCTGCCCAGGGGAGTAATGGAGTCACCATCCCAGGAGGTGTTTTTGGAAAGGGTAGAATGTAGTCCTAGGGATATGGTTTAGTGGGAAATATTGGTGGTAACTGGACAGCTGGACTACGTGATCTTAGAGGTCCTATCCAACCCTAATGACTCTATGATTCTCTGTGATTCTATGCACAGCTCACACTCTCCAGGTGACAGAGAGCCCGAACCAGAAGTGACACCTGTCTCCTCTCTTTGTCACTACACAGTTATTCCCACCTGGGACTTACCAGACTTCAGGCATACATTTACCAGAAGGGAACTAATTATTTCCCAAAGTTACAGGGACTTTCTCTCCCAACCTTTTTAATCTCAACAGCAGATGCTTTTAGGTGTTTAAGTCTGAGCTGGAAAACTGCCTTGTTTTTCCACATGCCATACTTTCATACAAATGCTTTCTTGGTAATCAGGTGATTCCTTTGCTTATTTGCTTAAGGACCAAAACAAAAAAAATTATCCAGAACCAGTTAACTCAGTCCCTTTCTTGGCATGGCAGATTTAAATAGAAACACCTATATTTCTTACTAGCAGGAAAGGGAGGAATAAAACTATCGGGTAAAAATTCCTGGTGTCACAGAGCTCAAACTTTACACCAATACTTCCTCGCCTGGCTTGTCAAGATAAAAATTTCACACCAACACATTTACCTCACCCTCTACCCCTCTGCTACTACACATGTCCAGCAGAATCAAAACACCAGTTTAAAGTCAGTAAGAAACGCTTTCTGCCTCCTAAGGACAAAGAGCTTTAATAAATCACTGTTGGTCTAGAGATGGATATGGGACTCAGCACTGCCTCTGCTTTCTTTCAGAGTCTCCATCCTCTATAGCAGCCACAAGGAGATGGTAAGACAGAAGTGACTGCTTCTGAAATCCCAGAGTAGCCGGTGCACCAACACCTTCACCCAGCACCCTTGCGTGTTCAGTCAGGAGCATCGTGGCCTCTGGATTACAGATCAAACAGGAATTTATTTCCTGCAGAAAATAAGAACCTCTGTGTTTCTGCACCTTCCAGACAGAATTCTGAGCACAAAAAACCAAGAAGTTTAATTATGAGTCTGGCAAAGTAGAGCAACTCCATTTGAAAAAAGAAGTCCCTGCAATTCCAAACTGCATGACCAGGTTTCACTCACTAAGGAGGAATACGAAACTGTTCTTCAGTCCTATTTCTAGACCTACATTCTTAGCATATCAAAATGAAGCAAATCCTGTTTAAGCAAAATGAAGCAAATCCTGTTCAAGCAGGCTTGGGTAGAAAGGCAAAGACTCAGGAACAAGCAACAGTAAAGGAATCCAAGAATTACATAGAGATGAAAAAATATCAGACACTCCAACAAGCTTGGAGTAAGGTAAGAAAGCTGGGATGATTCAGTGTCACCTCCAATTATTACTTGGCATTTGCATGAAAGCTGACTGTCATAATTTCAATGGACTACAACAAAATAAGTTACTCAGTGACTTCTTTGGCATTGACTTCATCCACTGACAGGAAGAGACTAAGCAAAAATTAAGCTTTGCCGCTCCTGTGGCCAGTTTCTTGGATTTGGAACAAAATATGGTTCCAAATACATTGGTTTGTTTGTGGGGATGGCCTTGCAGTCTGGAAATTTGTTTGGCCTCCCCAAATCAGAGGCAGCAGTCCCTCAATTAGACAGAAAGTAAAAAATGAAACAGTGCACCCAATTAAAGAGAGGAGAGATGTTTGAAATAAGCTCTTTGTTTAACCTTCTGCAGCCTGTAGAAGTGGACAGGCACATCTTCCAACAAGCAGGACTCCTTAATGAACTTCAGCACAGCTTCCTTTGCACTCAAGCCTTGCTGTTCTCGGTGCATCTCTGGGGCATGTTTCAAGATGTAATCACTCCCCCTCTTCGCAATTATCTGAAGGAAAACAAACAAGTCAGCAACTCTTCAGTGAAGCCCACAAGAAGCAGCTGTGATCAACAGGAAAGCCAAGACTGAAGGAGGAGAAGGTTTGTACATTCTCTCAAGAAGTTTGTTTGTGTTTATCTCTATCCTCCTAGAGGATATGCATTTAAAGCAGCCCAGATGTTACTGATGTCTCCAAACAGGTCCAAGATGACAAAATCATAACAGTCTGAGACTACAGAGCTTGTGTCAGCCCTTTTCATTCTTAAGTGTTGGAATTAGTTTTCCTAACTGCTTTCCCTAAATGCTTATGGGCAGATAACAAATACAGCTCTGCATGCCAACATAATCAGCAGCAACATCTCCAAACACTGCAGAAATGCTTTATGGTCAGGGTGGGGTTTACTTTTTTTTGTTGTTGTTGATCTCTTTTTTTAAATTAAAAAAAAAAACAAAAAACAGAAACTACACATTAGGCTTATGTAGCATTTCCATCCTCAAAGGGGAGGATAACACTATCTCAAGCTATTCTGTGTCTGGAGTGGTTTTCAGGCACACAGCTTTGCTAAGCAGTATAGAAATGTGTACTGGACCTTTTGTTCTTGCCCTGCAAGTGCCCAGTTCTAGTGCTTAGACACATGCTCTCTCCATAGAAAGCAGGGCACAAAATCCCTCGCTAATCAGGGCATTTAAAACCAGATCCCACCAGTTACCTGTGAACATATTTCAGAAGCCAGCTGTCCTTACCTCAAACAATCAGACTCCATCACTCAATTCCCATTTCCATTTTAAATTAAGTCCCTTGTTTACTAACACCTCTTCTCTCTCTTTGCATGCCATGTCAGATCAGTCATCCTACCATGAGGAAGACTGGGCTCCACGAAGAACAACACTGATGCCATCACTGTGCAGTGTCAGCAGAAAGAAGTACCAGCTCCACAGTTCAAAGCTGGGCTGCTCACCCCAGGGGCATCTGCCTTTTCTCAACAGTAGGAAAGCAAAGGCAGCTATCGACCAAATGATCTTTCACAGTGATCTCCAGCACGTGTTGGAAGAGAACACACTGGAGGAGTACCTCCCCATAGCAGCCCAGGGGCAGGGAGAGAAGCGTCCCCATGACTGCCAGATTTTGCTCTTTGTAATGATAAATCACCCACATACTTGCTTGGGGCTGTAGCTCAGCATAGGCGAACCAGGCTTTGACTTGGCCTTTGCAATGTTTGCCAAATGAAAAATAGTCTGTGATAAGACTTAAATGCCCCATAAACTGGGTGCACCAGACTCAATTTTCCCAGCCCTTTGTCAACTGCCCTGTGCCAGGTGCCCTGCTGCAAGATGAAGGCTGCTGGTGAGAAGAAAAGAGCACACCAAGGCAGGCTAGGACTCATGCATAAAGGAGATTCTACTAGCTTGCCTCCCTCCCACAACCCCTCCTCCAAATCTCCCTGAAGCAGGGGACAAATCTAAATCAAGTTGCAGAGGTGGGGATGTGCAAGTCCTTGGAAATATCCTGCTTGTGCGGATACCAACAGAGGTGTCCACAACAAAGCTAACTTCTTTTTCTATTTTGACAAAAGCCTGCATGACCATTTCATCACAAGAGCAGAACTTCCTGCAGGAAATCAACTCTGACAGATCTTTTTTTTTCCCAAATCTTTCATTCTCAACTCATTTGCCTTTGCTCAACAATTAAACCAAGTCTGGGTCTTTTAAGCTTTTAGTAGATCTTGTAAGGCATAAGCCAAGGTACACTTGCTTACCAATCAACATGTAAAACCATTTCCAGGCCCTTTCCTTTTCTCTTAATGCAATTCAGACCCAAATTAACAACAAAGTAGGCACCAGAGGCAATGCACAGCAGTACTACCCCTAGGGTCTGGGTCTGTACATCTCAGAGGTAAGCATTACAGAGTAGTCTTCTGCAGGGCTTTGCTTGTGCAGATTATTCTGACATAATATTGGAGGCACACTAGCCTCTAAGCCATAGAAAACTTGAAAAAAAGGCACACTGCTGGAGTCATTCATTTGACACCAACACATTCCCTCACTAAGGAAGAGTACAACTGCCACCTCACATAGCCCAACAGGAGCTGTCACCTACAGCCAGCAGAGACACAGAGGGCAATTAACTCCTGAGGGAAGTTCAGGGTGACACTGTCACTCTGCCTGATCATCATAGTGTAAGCTGGGGAAGCTGTATGGCTGCAATTAGGTACCAGCGTAACATGGCTCCTGCTGCATGCACAGTATTGAGAGAAAGATTCCCTCAGACTTACCCATTGTGGAAAATATGCTTGAGGTTCAAAATATTTCCCAGTATGGACCTCTTCCCTGTAGTTTCCCAAGTCTGCCTGTAAACTGTAGGCAGCCAGCAGGAAGTAGATTTCTTCTTTGTGGTTGCACCGAGATATAAGTACTTGCTCTTTGAGATGGCAGTAGTAGAGCTGCCTTGCCACCTTATCACTGAAAGACACAAAGGCAGGTTTGTGTGAGGAGGAAATGTCAGGCTCATATAGGGCCTCTCAAATGCATCTTCCTTGTGAGAAGAGGGATCCCTGATCATGTGTGATGCCACCATGATACGGTTAAGTGCATGTGGGAAACCCCAAGCCAAGATGAAGGTCTTCTCTCACAAGTAGTGTATAAACATGGAAAAGAATGGCCTCTGTCTTGAGGAGCATGAGATCTAAGAAGACAGGGCAGAAGGTAGATGAAAGAAAAATCGTATCACACCTGTTTGGAGATTGACAACATCAAGCATTTCTCTTACTCTGGAAAGCCTATAGCAGTCAAGAGAATCAACTTCCTTGAATTCCAGTCTTGTTTCTTGCACACCTGTCCTCCTTTCCCCTCTAAACCTGGCAATGCTTTTTCATTTCACCTTGCCTTAGGCTCAAGGTGCTTTTCAACAGCTAATTCCCTGCAAGGTAGATCAAAAGATGGAAGAGCCCTGGGCTTGTTTTGGTCTTCTTCCTGAGACTGCTGAACAGGAATAATCTGATAAGCATGTAGACCACTGATAATGTATACACATTTTGTAAGAGCTCAAGGGAAGCATGCTGCTGACATGTATGTATAGATACAGTGCTGGACACTACAGTCTGCATGTAAAAGCATTTGTGTATAAGTACCTCTGCACTGTTCCACAAACTCTTCCAATTAAATGACTAGTACAAGAGAAATCAGCTTGTGATACTAAGGGATGCATACACAGGGTGGGAAAGTGCTATTGAATCCCTTTAGTTTAGTGAAACTAAACAAAGAACACCTAACAGCCAAACAGACTCCAGAAGAAAGACTCTCCTGCATCCAAAAAAAGAGAACCGGGGGGCGGGGGGGGGACGATGGCAGAAGAAAAAAAAAGTCTTTGTTCAAGATGAGAACAAATGCCAAAAATTAAGTAAAGATTTTAATCTACTGGAATGATCCCAGCTCTTGGCTTGCCCTGGGGTCACAGCCACGCCAGCAGTGCTGATGCAAATCAACTGTGTCAGTTGTTCATTTCCAACTACCTCATCCTTTGTTCTGTACCATGCAGAGAGGGTGGCTGTGTTTTGAGGGCAGCCCATATTCCACGTGAATGGATCGCACTCAAATGCAAAACTCTCTAACTTATGAAGTCATTTCTTTTGTCTATTTATGAAAGTCCACTTCCAGGAGTAAACTGCACAGAGCACTGCACAGATACAAAAACCTGAACTAAAATTATTAGCATGCACTCTGGAATCTAAATAGCTGGTTTTGGTATATTCATCTGACGCCTTTCATGTAACCAAAAGATGCAAGCAAAAGACTGTTAAACATATTTCAATACTGTCGTAATTCAACCTGCTCTCTAAACACAGATGGGAAAGCAGTCACCATCTTCCTAGGAGCCAAAGGATAAGAAGTGTGAGACCGGGAAAATATTCACGGTTGCGTGAGGAAATCTGCTAAGTTCTTTTTAAAAAAATATAACAAAGAAAAGACATCAAGAGAAAAACCTCCACAAGATGATTTTTTAAAGAATTGTTAATAAAGAATCACAAAACACAATTAAGAAAAAAAAATACCACAGAAAAGAACTTACCTTATTACCCTTCCGTTTTCTACATAGTATTGTACTCTAAAGAATGCAACAAAAGGAGGGATGAATTTCTCTGTTCCCTAGAGCGGAGACAGAAGACATGTTAAATAACATTCAGCATCCAAAATTTCTCTTACCAGCTTTTAATATTCCCTCCTCCTCAAGCTTGCACCCCATACTGCTTTCCATTTGCCAAACTTAGCCCTTCAGCAATTTTGGGGAGGATTTGACTATCACCAAGGCTCACACAGATGAGGCATAAGAAAAAATTTAGACAAGCAGAATGGCAAAATACTCTATGGACTGCAGAAGAGTTTGGCTGAGAGGGGATGAGCTTGGTAAAATAGCCACAGTATAGTTTGGGGATGCCCAGCCTGGCTGAAAGTTACCTAGCTCAGCACCTGGCAGCATCCTGTACACAATAGTGCTGAACACAGCAAGTCTAACAAAACCTTCCCAACACATCAGGCACGCAGCAGGCAGCATGCCATGCTTGCAGTGCTGCAGTCTTTCCAGCTCGTACCTAGAATTAACCATTTATCTCTGCTCCACGCCACATCATACAGCAGGGACACACGCACTGCTGCAGGAGCTGCTCAGCCAGGCTATACTGCCTGAGGCTGAGGTGCACCAGCCTGATATTAACTCCTTGCCTCCTGTTTGGCAGGGCTAATGGTTAGTTATTCACCGCTCCCTACAGCCACAGACCAAAGGGAGATATCGATGTCTGCTTCACATTTGAGATGTCTGTCAGAAGAAAGCCAGCAAGATATCTGTTGTTTTCACTACAGCTTTCCCTTCAGACTTACAGTCTTGTTTAAACAGGAGGGGGAGGAAAAGAACATCTTGTCTTATTAGCTCATTCTCTCATCTTTCCTTCTTTGGCACTCGCTTCTAATGTTTATACAGGTAATTTTTTTCACACGGGGAGCTCAAACTCTTTGCTGGTTCATCTCACTGTGCATGGCATTCCATGCACATCTGATGTTTACTTTTTTTTGTTTTTTTGTTTTTTAACTGGAACTCATCCATAGTCACCCTATTTTAATCAACAGGACCAGGCTTTCCAGAACAGTAGTCTCCAAAATTAAACACCTGTCTTACTTTGCTGGTTTCTTTCTTCCATTCCTTTGAGAAGTATTTGCTAAGCTTCTGCTCCAGGTCTATGAAAACATATTCATTATCTGGAAGGCAACACAGAAAAGCATTCAATGTTAAAGAAGTAGAAATTCTTGTTCATGAAGTACTAAGATAACCCTACTGGCTGTTTCCAACAATACACTTGAAAACAAAAGCTGACCAGGGAATAGACAGAGGCAGGGAAAAGAAAGGGCAGTGGGACTCAATGCACGTGGTGCTTCTGAAAGTATGAAGGAAGCTTGGGTATGCCTCAGATGCTGAGCTGGAATTTCCTAAACTGTCACAAACGCTGAATCCTTCCTTTATGAGTCACGGAGTCACTTACACGAAGAAAATATCACCTTACCAAGATGACCGTACTATCAGTGTAATGGGGTAATTTTATTAAGCACATAAGCCCTATCCAAACTTCCACTTTTCTGTCACGTTGCACCATGATCCAGAATGATAAAAACAAGTAGACAGGGTCAGGTATTTGACAGGTTTAATCTTCTACATATGAATGGGATCCTGTGGAATGGTGGAGGATCAAATCCAAATGTTCTCTTCAGAAAGTTTGGTGTCTCCTGCTGAGACCTAACCTCTTTCATAGAGCAAAAAGATGGATGAAAGGAAGGAAAACCTATTTCGAAGAACTGAAGTTTGTTCTCCATCTAGGTGAGAGGGAGCAAGAAGAGCCAGTCTGAGTAGCACATCATCTTGAAAGAGCTTTGTGCTGCTTTCAAAGCCAGTATTTTGTAGGGCTACTTACCAGTTATCAAATATAAACAACTCAGCCAGTGATTTTTTTTCTTAAGCCTTCTCAAGTCTCATAAAAAGAGATGTGATGGGTCCTTCAGTGGCAACGCCAGCTGAGCACATTCACCTGATTAGTCAATCTACTCCACATTCTTGCCCAGAAAAATGTTACTACAAGTGACATAAATCTCAAATTGAAGACTTTGTTCATAAGAAACATGAAAGTTGGGGGAAAAAAAATGGAAGAAAAACCTTCACGACCACTCCTCTGACCCAAAGACACACCCAGACTTCCAGGCTTTGGCTTTTTCTTTCTGATGTCAAACAAAAAAGGACGAAGAAAAGAGGTGAACTGTTTCCAATAGAAGTTTACAGCCAAATGAAAACCTGCACTATCATCAATACTGCTGATGAAGAAATGACACAGGCTGGCATTATAGCAGGTATTCAAAGAGCAATGAGCTACTCCACAGCTATCTGTAGAGCACTGGTGACAGAGAGCTGGGAGAGGTATGTTGACCCAAACCACCCATGCTTCTAAGTCCATAAAGATAAGTAATACTGCCTTAGAAAGACTGACAGAAGTCCTAGCCAGCTTCACTATAGTACAGCTATTTGTTACCCATACCCCACAGTCCCTGCTTATCTATCTTATTAATTAGATTAGAGACAGAACCCCAGGAGGCTCCAGACACTAAGCATGCGAACTTCAGGTCACTAGTACGGTTTACACGCAAACCCCAAGAAGAGACCAGGCTGAAGGAGGAAGACACCCTAAGCTCTCCCTGGTGGTCCTGCTCCTCCTCAACCCAGCATCCTCCCGCTTCTCCCTCCCTGCAAGAATGCTGCACTGCATTCCTGCTTTAATGAAGTTAATATTGCTGGAATGTCAACCTGTGGTGTAAGCCTCCCTCTACAAAAACAAAGAGGCATTTCCCTCCCCAGCACTACACGGACTGTGGGCTTTTTCCTTAAACTGGATTAGTGGTGAAACTTAAGAGATCTCTGTCTGATGCTGAAACTGCTTCTGGCTTGAAAACAAGCCTCTCTCTAACAGAAATGAGGACGTGGCATTGCGGTGCCTCACAGCAGTGCTGTAAGGTACCATACAGAAATGCACAGATGATCACCTTTCCAGGAAAGAGCTTGTCTGACCCATGGATCCAACCAGGGCTGGATAATCAGCACGTATGAAGTGTCCTTGGTTTGCTGGCCTCACATGAATTGGAACAACCAAAGAAGCTGGCTTGGAAGCATGCATGCATGCCAACATGCAAATATCCACTAGCAGTCACTGACACTGCATTCATATTCTCTCAGTACTAGTGGTGAGCTTGAAGATACATCACATTAGCTTCCCTTAAAAGCTTCTGTTCAGTCAATGAGTTTGCAGCAGTGCAACTTACATCCTTCCCTCAGGTACAGATTTCAAGCACCCTCAAATTAAAGGAAAAATCTGTGCTGTAACAATCTCACTTCAAATTAATAGTCACCAGAAATGCAAACATGCAAGTGCACCAACTGCAAAATTAGCTTAGCACATTTAACGTACTTCAGCAAATATAAGACTTGAACTGTTGCAAGCAAAAAATATGGGCCAACCAAAAAAAATTACAATTCTAATGAGTTATGTGGATGTACAACATGCATTATTCACACTACATGAAAAATGGGAGCGGACAATTCTGACTGTAATGTACAGTCAAATGAACTGTGATTCACTGTTACTCTAAAAGCCTTTGCTTCACGTTGACTAGTGCCTCTCCATTTTGATTTTTGTTTTTAGGGGAAGGCTGTGTTCCTTGCAGTATAACTAAGTAATGATGAATGCCAATAACCTGTTCTCCTCATGGGCCCATTTTGGCCTGAGAGCACTGACAAATGCCAAAGGCAGGTCATATACTAATCATACAAAGAAAGAGGGAGAGCTGAGACCCACTTGGCAGACAAGAATGTCCTGCTAAGTCCCTTGGTTGAGTCAAGTATATTTTAGTACTATAACTATTTAGACAGTCCAGGAGATTAGGATTGAAATTAAAGCGCAAAGCCAAATTTCCCCATAGCAGGCACTTTCTGCTGTAAAAGAAGGGAAAACACTATTGTCCTTGGATATAGAAGCCTCACTGCAACACCACTGCTCTCTTGAGAGTCAACAGAAAAGAGACCAGGAGCAGAACAGAGGAATGGCAGGGAGATCTGGTATTAGGAGAGATAGTCAGGAAAGTTGAAAGACAAAGACAGAGAGAAAGAAAAAACAAAGCAGAGACCTCACAACAAACATGTGCTACAGATCTCATATAACCTGTTTAAACTCCCCAAACACCAGCAGTTTTTGTTTTTTGAAGAGGGCTACATGCTCCTTTTGTGAGTTCCCCTGGCTTCCAAGCGGTGGTGGCTTGGGAACATCAATGCCTGCATGGCATCTGCTGCAATCAGCCCCACAGAACATCTGGATGCTCCTGGTGTTATCTTTCAAGCCAACAGGAAGAAACCTTCTCAATCCCTGGTTGATTAGTACAAGAACTTAGTTCAGGATAACCTTACATTTTCAGCTTTAGCTGTTAAGTATATGCATGCAAAGTGCAGAAAAGAAAAGCTATAACAGAGGCTGGGAATACAGCAAGGGCTGGCAGTGGTCCCTTAGCTGAGATGGACAGGAAAATAAAAGGAGGCAACATTAAGAAGCACAAAATAGTTTGGCTGTCAGGAACTGTTGAGATAATGGCCCAATCATTCCTGAAAATGAGCACATAGTACTGCATGTATTTTGTGTTAGCATCTTAAAGCTAGCAACAAGACATGCCCAGGCAAAACTCTCTAGACTTCTGGCAGAGGATTCTTCTGCACAAGAAGAGCTGCAGAACCATTCCCAGCATTCCTCATCCAGGAGAAAACATACTGTTTGCAGTCATCGGACAGGAGAGCACCTTACTGGATGGCACACTGATGGTGAAGTGGAAAAACTGACAACAGGTGTAGGCCAAAGAATGCTGTCCTGGGTAAAGACCATGCAAGTACTTCCAGAAAACATTACATAAATTTATGAAGACCAGACCACCTGCAAGTTTGCCTAGGCGGCATGTTTCTGCGCGTATTTTCCCTGCTTAGTAAGCAACTCCTGATTGAGGTACTGAAGTCACTATAATGGACTGTGTCTCCTTTGTTTAGGACATGGGAGCAACTCACAAATGGAATACAATTGGAATACAAATGGAATACAACTTCCCTGCAGATATCTGAGGGAAAAGCGCTAGAAGCAGGGGGTAGCAGGGAAGGACCAGGGTGTAGAAATCACCTGAGAGTATTTTGGAAAAATTCTGTTATCACTTGGCTTCTTAAGAGACAGTTTGGTATAACAGATACCTACATAATACAATGTACAATGCTGTGGATTCTTCTGCCTACGAACTTCAGTTCTGAAGGATACACAGGTGCAGAAAAGTTACCTGTAGACACAGAAGTCCTGACAGAATTAACCACCAAGCTCCCTGCTAAGCACACAAGGAGGACTGGGAGCTATTCTTCCCTGGGTCTGTCAAAGTAAGCAGCTAGAGCTGTAATAACTGAAGGATGACCCTCGAGGCAAGGGAGCTGAAGCAGAGGGATTTGGTTTTGTAAGAAAGCCAACTTGACAAACTGGTATGAGCACACCAGTGGCAGAGTCCAAGAGCTGAACACTTGCTTCTTCCCAGTCAGAGGTTTCTATCTGCTTGGGTTGAGCAAGGTTTGATCCTAGGAGAAGCCCAAGACTTAAGACTGCGGGGATTTGGGTTACAACAACAAAGGAGACCTGGCTGCTCTTTGTCTGCTGACAAACAGTTTTGCTTTAGAAGATTGAACTATGTTGCTGCATACACATTCTGATAACAGTAGGGAAAACTCTTGCAGGGCACCAGATAAGACTGACCCTGTATGAGGAGCTGCAATATAAGACCCAGCTGCTGAAGCCTATGGAGCCAGCATGAACGTGAAAGGACTACAGGGTCATCACAGAGCAAATTACAGGAAAAAAAATGCACTTAAGGAGCAGCTGAACACAAGGTATAGCCTGCTTGATGACCTGTGACAAAACTTGAAGAGCAACATATCCCAAGCTCCACGGTGGTGTTGCTTTGCATCAACATACTTTCCTGAATATAATTTTCAAAAGGATAAAATTCTTCCTACACATGCAAAGGTCTTTCCTTCCCTTTATAGTTGTCTGAAGTGCTTTCAATATTGAAGGGAAAAAAAAAAAAGGTAAAAGAGCAACAGCAGTGAAAAATCATGCCCTCTCATCATTACTGTTGCCTTAAATGCTGAAGCTTGTCCTCAGGATTTCTAACAGTTGGAAATTAAGGAGAGCCCCAAATTCTCTTATCCTTTAAGCAAGGAACACTGGAAGACATGCTCCAAGACCTAGAGCTTAGATCTCACAGCAATTATTGTTTGCACAATGCTTAATGGTGCTATTTTCATTTTTGCCACACATGGGGATTAAATTTCTGTTCATGATTAAGGAGCCAAACTTCTCTCCCTCACACACATACTTACTATGAACCAACTAAGCATTACCATATCTGTTCAATGTCTGCAGGTCAAACGGGCTCCTAATCCAGATAATCCATCCAGTGTGATTGGTTACATTTCTGCAGAAATGCCATGATTTTCATTTTCTTGCCTTTGCTGACAGTCAGGGTTTTGTTGGCAAATTAACAGCAAGGTAATGGATGCAGGTGGATTAGAATATCATGTTTTGCATGTGGCAGTATCAGATTGTCAAAAATAAATACACACTAAATCTGTGAAACATGTCCTTATTGGAATATGGTGGTTCTTTCTTAAAGATGGCATTTTAGAGCTGCAGCACCAGGAGGTGAAAATGTAATATAGAAGAGGAACATGCTCTGTTATGAAACACAAAGGCTTCCTCTCCAGTTTTTGGATACCCTGTCCACCTAGACCAGCACCAAACCTTCCACACACTAATTGCAGTAAGCACACTGAATCCCTGCCTGGCAAAGGCACTGGACTTTACTCACATGACAACCCTGGACAATGCAAAACTTACCCAGGCCTCCCACAACCAAGACAGGCTATTTCCCTTTCTGGAGATGAAACCAAAACTCCCTGGAAAACTGACCAAGGGTGACTCAAAGGTTACTTCCCAAAGCCCAAAGATGGAGAGCACTACATCTGCAATAGAAGCAAGACCTTAGTTACCACCGTCAGCAAGAGATTTATTTGTTAGCCAGGACAGGTAAGGAGATAGAAATCAAGTCTGCAAACAGAAAATGAAAGACTTATTTTGCTACAGCTCCAAGTAAGGACTGAAGGCAGGTAACAGAAGAGAGCAGCAGCACACAGGGCCAAGTTTGCCCCCTGTCTCAAGAGTCAGCTGCTGCTTTCCTGGTGGCTGTGGCTAAGAAAATGACACTTCCCTCCCTCCTGCTGTCTGGCACCCAAAATCCAGACAATTTCTTAAGCAAAGTAATGAAAAAAATTCTCTTCCTCATCCAGAATCTCTATATTTGCCATGGTGGAGGAGGTGCCAAGATGAGCACACAGACAGCCTTCATCCAAGCAGCTTTAGAAACTGAGCTACAGCAAGCAAGAGTGAAGAACAGTGAGGAAACAAAACAAAAGGAGAGGTCCCATTCGGGCTACTTGTCATTTTTCTAAGAGCACTGCAAAGAATTAGCTTATCTAAAAAGGATGAGCATTTTGTGAAGCGAGCGAAGACTGTTTATGTTTAAAGCTATAGGCAATATACTTTTGAGTTGTAAGTAGCACTGCTTTATTAACCTAGTTAAATTGGGATATTCAGGTCTTCCTCACTGGAAGGGGAATAAAGAACGGTGCTGGTTTAAATCCACAGATATATGTTTGTCAGCTACTGGTTTAGTTATGTCGATGGAACCTCCTGGAGACTCTCCAAACATTAGGGTGATAAACAGCTTACTCCCATCTTAGCTCCAATGCTCAGAAAAATGAAAAAGTTTTTAGAGAAAGAACAGAAAAGAAAATGAGACGAGAAAACTTAAACAACTTCCTCCTGCATACTCATAAGCAGGCAAAATAAACCTCACTTACAATTCATAAAGTTATTTTTATTTCACTGATAACATCCAGAGATACTGCAGTAAATAGTGAAACATTTGAGAAAAATTTTAGAGGGAGAAGTCAACAGATTCATTACTGTTTTCTAAGAGGCTGGGAGGTGTTGATGCACACTGTCCTAGATATGTAATATCTCCTATCGGTTTGCTCCTTTAAGTTTAATGCATCATCTTACACTGTCACCTGGTCAACACCAAGATAAAGGACCAGCAGTTCAATTCACGTACTAAGACACTTTAAATTTCCCAGATGATATTTCAAAACACAATTTTCCTACTCCTCATGTATTCAGTCCCCTCAAACCATTTAAGTTTCCTCTCCCCATTCTTCAGCATTCTTTGCATGTGACTTCAGAACATAAATAACATTTCCAGCCCCAAATTCCTTTTAAAATTCATCTCCTGTCCAACTACTGACAGTTCTGAACTCATACAGTGACAAATATGTTAGCTAGCAAGTTAGCTATAGGGGAGAAAGAAAATTCCACAAAGAGGTAGAACATAAGAACAAAGAAAGAGAAGAAAAGGGCCCCCTTCTCCCAATTTGTCTGCCCACATACCAAAGATCAAAAGAGCTCTGAGAAGCCTGTGCATAATCTACATACTTTGTGACCTTATTAGAATTGAATTCCCCCACAGGCATGGCCAGTGTGTATATATGCACACACTGTAAATACACACAAGCAGATCTGTGGAAGTTTGCCAAGTCATTTGTTCTATGCACTGAGTTTGCTTACTTTTAACAATGCTGAGGCCAAAGAAGTGAGGCTCTTTAATCTTCACTAAATCACAAACTTGCTGGAAGAGCTCCTGTCCTGTGGCTTTGACCTGAAAGAAACAACCAATCCAACATTACAGATGGCTCACACACCTGAATAGGCCAATTCTCCTTCCTTACACTGGCCAATATGTTTTTGGATACCAAAACTGAAGAACTCCCAAAGAACAAGATTTGTTTTCAGTATTATCATCATAGAAAAATTATCAAGGCGTTCCTTTTGTACCTTTACACTGCAAAAGAGGCTCATCTCAGTAAGATATGAATTCAGATCTCCTATTTATTGGCATTGCTGCATAAGGAGAATTCTGGAGTGCTAGTTTTGTGCAGTGCTACTGACAGGTGCTCTCATGGAAAAAGTTTGTAAACAAAAATCAAAACACTGGTCTCTTGTATAAATGTTTTTTCAGAGATTATGAGAAACAACAAAACTTTCATTCAAGAGAACTAAGAACAAAAGTACACAAAGAAAGCCAAGACTGCATTCCTTCATTTACCTGAAATGCCTGGTGGGGTACAAACTAGGTTGCTCTCCACTCCACACAGAACAGCTTATTCTGTCTGCCACTGATTTCTGGTCACACAACAATTAAACATCTGCATTTTCAGAAGCTGTCACCAATTGCCTATGAGCTTTTTCCTATTTCCTTGCCAAATGGAGACTGGTCCAGCACAAGCTCCTCAGCAAAGTGGTGTTATGGGCTACTCACATGTGGCAAGGATGTGTACAGTGACTGGAAAGCTTCTCTATTACATGTCCTCTCAGTTATAGCCTTGTTTCCTTCCACTCTATCACACTACCTCAGGAGTACAACTCATCAGGCTAGCAAAATCCCACAAAATCCCCAACCCTCAAGAGACACGGGAGGAGTTCTGAGCCAGAACAGCTGCAGAGAGCCAAACAATACTGAGACAGACAACCAAAGCGCTGCCTGGGGTGCAGCCAGCTGCTGTGAAACCAGCCACAATCTCTCAGCTGTTCTGTGCCACTGCTGGGCAATGCCAAGCAGCAGCACCAGAAGCTGCCATCCCAAGGTAGGAAGCAAAGAAAACAGGGCAGAAGTCTATCTCTGAACTTGCCTGCAGTGTAATCATCACCAAAATAACTGCCACCATAATTCCTCAAGCCCTTTTAGAGATGGCATGCCATGCTGCCCAGAAGCAGGTTCCACTCTCCTCCCTGCCCCAGGATGTACCATGTCACTAGATACGGACAATGGGAAATGAGGTCACTGACGTTTTTTGTTTGCTTGCTTTGTTTTTTCTTGACAATACACCACCAACCAGCCACTCACTAATGTTTCACCTAAAGCTTTGAAAGCTGCACTACACCAACATGTGTGCAACACAAACTTTAGGAGGAGAGGTGATAACATTCTGTAAGACCCCCAAACAGCACGCAGTTGTAGCTGGTCTCTGTGCGTGTTCTCCTTTCTGGGAAGGACTGGGTGACCTACCTGTAGCTGGAATGATTATGCACATACATCAGTCACTGGGAGCACATGACTATGTAAAAGCTATATAACTAGGTACATTTTGTGACATGCTTTCACACCTAAGGGAAGAAAAACTTGCTGGAAGATACTTCTATGAACTGAACATTTTGCGACGCTCATCTCAAAAGCAGAAATTCAATAAGTTTTCTTGCACAGCAGGTATGTGATCTGCTACCTTGTCCATTCTCCTTTTGGTATTTTCTTACTGTATCCAGTTTTACTCCCAGACTTCATAGCTATGCAATACTGATAACACCTGTAATCTCTGTTTCCTCCTCTTACATTCCCCTGTTAGAACAATCAATATTTCCTTTTGAATTTTTCATTTTTTGTGGTTCTGTTTGGCCTTTCCTCCCTTTGCACATGGTTTGTATGCCAGATTCCATTCCAAACACACTATGCATCATTCCTTCTTCTGATGAGGCCTGATACTCAGCTTTGCTCCACATCAGACTGGACTAAATTTCATAGTGTGAAGAAACCCCAAAATAAAATCATGTGCCAGATCATAAATCATGTGCTACTCCAGAGTCATTCTACATGCAAGTATTCATACATGCTGGTCAGCCATCTCGTTTTAGCAGTCTGTATGCTTCAAAGCACCAGCTCTGCTGCTCACAGAATAACTGGAAGACTTCAGATCTATGCCTGCTGCTTCTAAACACACAGGACTACACCAGACTTTCTCCCCAGGTTTGGAGTAGCTGGCTGTTCTGCTTCTCTCAGGAAGCAGTCCGACCCTCACTAGTCTAGGTCTCTGTCATTTTTTTCAGCTGCTATCACCAAAGAAACTTCTCAGAAACTTTATTGAGACAGTCACAAAATCTAGTTGGTACTGACCAGTGGGTTCAAAATGAGGTAAGCCAGCACACTAGGAGGTAAAGAAAACTGAACGAACTGGATGCTGCTCCAGATCTTTGATGTAAGTGATAGACAAGACATAGAGAAGTGCTCTTTCTCACCACTCTCTCAAATCAGCCAATACAACCCCCATGGTGGGCACCTAAATTAATACAGATCTGACGAGGTCTGAAGAAACTTTAAAATGGCTCCAACTTTTTTCCCTTCAATGGTCAATATCTAAGAAGGGCACAAAATGAAACCATCTTAAAGAACAGTCTTCCATCTACATGCAACCACACAAAACACATATAGGAAAACTCTTATCTGGAAGGATGGAATTTGTATGAGAGGAGGAGAAAGGAATTATGTGCATAAACCCTTTTCTTATCGGGGAAAGGATCTATAATTTATTCTGCTGGAAGGATAATGATTCCTACCTACCTCACTGAGCTCCAACCTTATTTAGTATTTGCATTCCACACTGAGGAGGTTAAAAGGCTTTGGAAACATTAAGTAGTGGCATTATTATTCTAATAAATGCACAAGCTATCATCTGTGGTTGTGCTAATTAAATTTGTGTTCTACTAATATTACTGGAAAACTGCCTTGATGTTCCTTTTAGAAGATGTCTCCAGCTGCAAAATACTGATTTTTGTTGTTGTTTTGAAGGGGTGTTGTGGTAAAGAATGAAGCCAAATAAAAAGCTGGGTTTGGTGACTTGCCCAGTTGCAAGAGGTTATATTTCACTCTCTATGCAATTAGGACACAACTGTGTTTTGAGAACTCGTGTTTTAACCCAAGCAGATATTCTCTTTCACAGCCAGGTATCTCCGCATATGTAGTTTTGCAACTTTATGGCCACTGAAGCATGAAGCAGCAGAAACGAGGAGGGAAAATGTCTTAAAAGGTCTACAGATGGATATGGTGCCACAGATCCTGCCAGAGAAAGGGATATTCAAAGACCCTTAGCTCTTTGCAGGAGCTGCAGGAAGGCAGGTGCGAACAGGGACATGCTGCCTTCCCTCCATCCTCACAGCACTAAATATGAAAGGACATTCACTATGCTATATTAAGCTGCTGCAGCACAGGGCAATTCACAGTCACATTTTAAATACAGACTATAGCTCTTGCTGCCTGCCCAAGACTGGGCATGGAACATCCTGCTGCAGTGGGACACTGCCTGAAGACCCTGGAGCTTGGGCAGCCCCACAGCTGTCATATACTCCTAGGAACAACACTACTCAGCCAGATGTGTGATACCACAGTTAAAATGCCAGACAGGGAGCAGAGGTGGAGCAATGAGATGAGAAAGGGCTTTGGGCATCTCTGGTTGACCCTCTGCTCATTTAATGCTGAGCCAAACCAAATGGCAATGCCTTCTGCACGCGAGTCTGCACCTCAAGAGATTTAGGGCAGGCTCTACTATCTCACATCTTTAGCTTTGCTGATAAAAGCTATAAAAAGGTGAGATTTAGGGTCAGTCTCAACAGACCATTATCACTGGCCTTTGCACCTGCCTTTAGGAGCTTAATTAAATTCTCATGTTGTGGCTTGCACAAAACCAATAGACTGCAGAAGGTCGGGAGGTAGCTGGGCTGAATTTGAACAGATGACCTGCAAGCAGAGAGCCCCATATTTTGCTACTGAAGTCTCGTTCTGACCAGCCCTTGTGGAACTTTCCGTTAACGATGCCACATTTAGGCATAACAGACAGGAGAATTCCTATGTGGATTTTGAAGATTAGCACACGTGCCATGTTTTCAGCTTTGTGCTTAGAATAGCTCACCTCACCTCACCTCACCTCACCTCCCCATCTGAGGGGAAAGCAAATAAATTCAAAAGGAAAAATCTCACCAGCACACATGCGAACTGCACACAGTCATAGGGGAGCGTTCAGCTTTGTCACCCAAGCTGAAGTGGTGCTGCCAGTTTTGTTTCTTACAAACTGAGGAGCGAGCAACATTATGCAAGGAGCCCATGTGCACTGCAGTGGGCATGGGGTTGCGCCAAGCAGGCAGCCATCAGGGTTCTGCCAGCACTCCTGCACAAGCACTCCAGTATTTGAAGAGCTGATCAAAGAAATGAAGCCACTTAGCTGCGGTCAGTGTGTGTATAAGAACTCGAAGGAGAGGAAAAAAAGCCTTAGATGCTGTTTGCTCTGCCTTGGAGTCTTTGAAAGACACTGACAAGCTCTCAAAGCTGAAATAGCTGAAACACCAGTGTAAATGGCCATTATTAGTAATAATGCTAATAATGCATCAGGGCATTTCAGGTTCAATATGAAAAAATCTCTGGTTTGTTAACTGCGGAAAAAACACTGTGGGCGCTTAAAATAACCCCAACAAAATAACAGCAGAAAAAGAACAGAGGTTACTTATACCCCAGAAGTTTTGAGTAACTCCACCAATGTTTTGAAACCACCCAATTAGAAAATAGAGTGCCAATTACACTAAGGCTAATAGCCTTTGGGTCAGCAGACCAGGCTTTGAGAGAAAAACAGCAGCTAACAAAGCCAGCCTTGGCCCGGAGCGAGGCCTCCTGGCATCCCTCGAGAGCCACTCACCCCCACCGTCAGGCTGAGCTGCTCCCGGTCAGGCAGGAAGACGCAGACGCTGCGGCCCTCGGGGTGCATCCTGCTGGACAGCAGTGCCCGGCTCATGGCAGGCAGCTCCGTGTGGCCCCGCCGGCAGCACCCGGTGTATCCTCTCCGGTGTGGATGGGCGTCAGGTTCCCTTCATCCCATGCACCTGCTGGGAAGGGGAGAGTGTCAGTGAGGTTGTGGTGAGGCCCTGCAGTTGCAGCTCTGCCCCTCTGCTGGCTGAGGTTGGCTGCGCTGTGCTGAGAGGGCAAGTCTCAGTGGCACCTGACTCACCCATTTTACAAGGTCACTGTCAATGTTTCTGATGGCATTGTGGCACAAACTGGGCAAAGATAACCTCTACATAGCCTGAAAGGCAGAGCAGAGTGCCACAAAGCAATCAGATCTATGAACCCAAAACAAGACTGAGATGTATATAAGCAAAGAGACACATGATGCCACAGGCCACTGCCTGAAAAAGCCCATGAGCAAGAGGGAGTGCCACCCTCTTCATCTGGGACATCTCCTTCATGCCACCTGAAGTGGAGGATTTTAACAAGCTGTCAGCACAGAGCACTTCATCTGAACCAGGTTCCCTTCTGCCCAGCCCTGATATCTGAGAAATCTCTGCCCTCATACCCAAGCGAACTCATCAGCTCCCAAGGCTGAGCCACCATTCCACATTTTTTGCCTCCTCCCAAGGGCTGAACCCATGCAGCACAGTTGGGAGGTCTTCACTTTTGGGAAAAGCTGCTGGAACAGCATCAAAAACGCAGCTGCCTGGGAGCTGCACAAGCAACTCAGAGCTGAAGCTACAATAACCACAGAAACACCAGAGGGAAACTGAATTCGTGCACAGAAGCACAGTGGCACATGTCTTCTTTCCATTGCTATGGGAGGTTACACAGCACTCCCCACAGCTACCTGTTGCCACCTTTTTGGTGTTGATCACTGCACAGCCTGCATCAGAATGCTACATGCTTTCTGCTTTGTTTTTGAATCAAGTAGCAGTAAGTGTCCTCCTACAACTGCAAAAGCTGCTCCATGCACCTCCTCCCTAGCTTGAGCTGGCATATAAAACATTGCTTTATTAAGAAGCGTTGTATACGTTTTCTATAGAAATCCTCCTATGAGAGCAAAGCATACAAAACTTATTAATATAGGAGGGAGTGCCATTAAAGGACCAAGTTATTATTAATTCAGACTTTGAAGAAAAGTAATAAACGGGAACTAGGATCTTTAAAATGAAGTTTGCTCTAAATTATAAGCACACAGGAAAGACACATTTGACTTCCTGGATGAGAAGAGGTCAAAGCTTCCAGGCAATGAAATACTTGGAGAAAATCTCTCATTCATCCTCCTCCATCAATATAATTATACCAATGAGCTCTCCTGGGTTCCAGGCTACACACTGTGAACAGCTGTATATAAATACCAGACGTCTATAGAATGACTTGAAGGTGATAGGTCACTTTTTATTGTCATCTGATGTCATACGCTCCATAAACTTTATGGATAGTATAAGGATCTCAGAGTTATGAGCTCAAGCATTCCACTGTAAGTAGGTTTGTTCCGATTGTTAAACTACTTCACTATGGCCCATGTCCTCACTCACAAGGGGACAAACATTCACACAGCCTGTAATACAAGTCAGAAAAGGCAAAGAAGTAACAATAAGAATAAACTGACTTTTTTTCCCCGTGGATAATTCAAGAAACTGAACCCTATTTCCTCATACCCTCTGTTAATCAAGGCTCACAGAAGGCTCATCCTATTCACACTTGCTTTGTTCTCTTAAAATTTCAAATGGACAACTGTAGATTGTGGGAGATGGGAAGAAAGGGAACCTGCACTAGCAGGGTGAATTAGGAGGGGGTTAGGCTAGATGGTCTCCAGAGTTCCCTTTCAACCCCTGCAATTCTCTGATGCTGTGAATGGACAGGGAGATATTTTTTTTCAATGTTTTACAACAAATGAGCTCTTCAACACTGCAGCAGGTAAGAGGTTAAAGAAGCGATGTCCTTAATCTGAAGGGGGAGGTCAAACAAGAGCCCAAATCAGCTTTCTCTTCTTCAGAAGTATGCTAGAATGTGATAAAACTTAATGAATCATTAACTTGCTAGCAGTGCACGCTTATACTAGGGGGAAAAAAAAAAAAAAAGCGCCAAGAATAACTGCCCAACCAAAACAAGTAGCCAGAAGGAATGCTCTTACTTAAACATACACAATTTCAGACTGCCCATATGCCATTCTTTTGTTTACCACAGATTCCAACCTCTTAACCTCAATTAAACCCTAAAAGCTCTGGCAAATGCACTGTAGATGAATTAATAAAAGCGGAAGTCAATCATTGGCCTCTGGGACACTACAGTTTGTTTAGGTTGGCTTTTTTTTGTTTGTTTGGGTTTGTTTTTTTGTTTGTTTGTTTGTTTTAAATAACATCATTCCATCATTTTGCTCCCAGAGAAGTCCATTTTGAGATGTAATTGCTTAGTCAAAGGCCTGTCAGTAAAGCAATCAAAGATGCTTCAGATTCCTACTCTTCTGGTATCAGTCAGGCATCTTTTTAGTGCCTAGAGTTTATTTAGCACTGTTTATTTTATTCTACCTAAATACACGTGCACCAGAGCCTTGGACAATAAGCTTGCCATTAATTTCAACACTACTCCGATTAAACAGGTCAAACACGGCTGTAAAAACTAATTAGCAAGAACCCTAATCTTCTGCTCCTCTACCCACAGCCCCACAAGCTGCCTCCCAGCAGCAGAGCAGGGCTACAGTGTTTAGTAAAAACAGGAATTGGTGGAGTTAGCAACAACACTAGGAGAGCAGCAAGAGAGTCCTTTGGAGATGAGATTGGTTGTTGCATTTCCATAAGCAAGTTTGAAATTCACCTTTCTCTCTGATCTAAGGTGGCAAGGGAAAAAAAAAGTTAATAGTAGTTCCTGCTTCTTTCTGCACTTTGTAACTTCAGATCCCCAAACGGCTCCTATACAAACCAGCCCATGCACTAAAACTGGGCTTCAGCATGAACTGCACAACCCTATGTTATATACCACAGCCCTCTTGGAATTAGGCCCTAATCCTGATTTCAGTCTCCCCGGACTGCCACAGGCACACCTCAAGGGAATAAAAACAAATGCGTGAAAGAATCGCCTGCCAACTCTAAGCAGCAAAGCAGAACAAAATTCAATCATCAAGAAGAAAGAGCACAGATAATTATGTGCTTCTCTCAAAAACATCCAGGAATACAACCTGAAAGCACGCTTTTGAAGGTTTATTATAGTAAAGTATCTTGGGAAAGCTTGTTTTGCTGCCACTGACAGAGATGAACGCTAAGCACATTCCCAATGAAACCACAGCAGACTGGCCCTACAGAGTTCTGTCAAGGACTGCTCAGAAATGCTAAGACTCTTCTTAATGTTTTCCACAGATGTCTTATGCTTCTAAGACAACCAGACTCCTGGACTGCCGTTCCACAATCAGCTTAGGTAGCATTAATCAAGCCAGCTGTGCAGCAGGGCAGAGAAGCAGCTGCCTGGAAAGAAGCCTACCTTTGTGCAGCAACCCATGCTCACATTGCCTCAACCTGATGATAAAATACAGCCTTAAAACTGAGAACCTCCCTCACCTATGCCTTTTTTCCCTTCAAATATGCACTGTAAGACAGAGTAATAAAAACAGAATAAAAAAAAAGCCTGAACAAGTAAAGAATCATAGAATTGGTTGGAAGGGACCTCAAGGTCATCACGCTCCAACCTCCCTGCTGCAGGCAGGGCTGCCAACCTCCAGGTTTAATACTAGACCAGGCTGCCCAGGACCCCATCCAACCTGGCCTTGAACACCTCCAGGGATGTGGCACCCACAGCCTGTCCGGGTAGCCTGCTCCAGCACTTCACCACTCTCGGTGAAGAACTTCCCTCTGATATCCAACCTAAATCTCCCCTCTTTCAACTTAAAAACATTTCTCCTTGTCCTGCCATTACCTATCCTTGTAAAGAGTTGATTCCCCTCCTGTTTGTAGGCTCCCTTTAAGTACTGGAAGGCTGCACTGAGGTCACCCTGCAGCCCTCTCTTTTCCAGGCTGAACAAGGATGTAACAACAGCATGTATTAGCCCTTCTCAACAATCTGAGTCCCCATACAACTTCCTTGACTAGTCCATGAGATGACAGAATTTTCCCTGGGTGCTCCAAAAGACAAGATCCCAGAACAGATGCAGTGTGGCCACAAGAAAGATGCAGCACTGTCAGCAGAAATGATTGGCATTCAGTTCATAGACTAGGCAGATGCAACTGCAGCAGGTCTTTTGCATCTGCTACATCTGAGCACAGCATCCTTGCATGGATGGGATGTGGGCCCAGCTCTCACTTCTGGGATTTTCAAAAGGAGAAATAGGAAATGTCCTCAAGAATTCCCAGGCTGTGGAGCCCTTGGTAGAGTTCATTCTCACCACATATCTTCGGGGACAGATGGGGAAGTTGCTGAATACTGGTCTTAGATGCCAACTAACATCCTTTTTCTTCCCCTTCTTGTACAAACAGCACTCTCCAATGACACTGAGCTTTAACAATAGAGAGGAAAACACTTTGTAGACCTATTGCAGGATTAGACACAGCTCTTAGTCAGGCATGACTGCCCACAGTCCACCTGCATGCTGTGATGTTTTCCCACCTCACGACAAGCATCAAAAGTGAGCACTACAGCAAGAAGTGCTCTCCTGGGTTTGTAACTCTTCTGCTTTGCACTGCCTCTCCCAGAACATGGCCAGTGTGCTCAGGAAGAAGGGTTCCCTCAGAATTCCCATGACACCTATTCCTAACCTGCGATTGTGGTTGTATGCCACTCTATGGGCAGCCCTACTCCTGCACAGAGGCAGGGGACAACTCTCCTTAGAGGTGATGCAGCACTCTTTGGAAGCCAAGAGACACATGTTTTTGTACACATATTGAGACCTGAAAAACAGCCTTCAAGGAAGGGAAAAAGTGAAGCTGAAGGCAAAGCAGCAAAGGACACGCATGCTCTTGTAGTATGGAGGTGAGGAGGCTGTTAGGGCAGGACCATGTGGATGGCTGCCATGTTTCTATCTAGCTGCTCCTGGGATGAGAAAAGCACTTCAGCACTTTACTTCCCATGAAGAGAGCTCAGCATGAATCACCTGGGCTTAATCTTTCCCCAAAAACAGAACTGAATTCAGAAGCCTTTGAGAGAAACAATGAGCATTACAGCCTCAAGCAAAAGGGACAAATTAAGATCTCATGAGGGAGTAAGCTTTTCCATCACTTTCAAGTCCGTGTGTGCCTCTGAATTTCTGTGCACAAAGGTACACAGCCTTTTAAAGTGCATTAATAGAAACGTGAAAAACTTTGAACATTAAATGTCTGCAGTGAGCGCATGCACCTCCTTTTCAGCGTGCCATGTTCCTGGGAAGACTTTCTGCTGTCAACATCAGAAACAGCAATGGTTGAACTGACCCTGCCTGCTCATTGATTGGTAATGCAAATACAGCATTTCCTCATCATGTCTGACTACCAGTGTGAAGTTTCTCATTACAATGAATTTGTTTATTTCCTCACTATCTACAACTGAGATCCTTTTACTGATTAACAGTCACAGGACTTCCTCAGGCTTCAAAAAATTACATATGTGAATTAGTGTTTATGATTACATACTGTGTGAAGGAATCAACTGGCTTAGGCAAATGCAGAAGCGTAAGAACAAACCAGTGAAATACGGCACAGCATGTGAAACACTTCAGTGTCTGGGACACAACACGTGAAGCTGCTGCAAAGAAAGCTTACGTGGAAGTGCAGAGCTCTGTTCTTTCAGCTGAGTGACCAAGGCAGCATCACATGAATCCTTCCAAGATTAAGCAAAGCAAATTGCTTCAGCAACTGTTCAGTCTCACCAAAAGCTTACCCACACCCAAACACAAGTACACATCCCTTTGGAAAAAGATCAGTACAGAAAACTAACTCACACGTACGCATACATAGGCAGTCCAGAGTGCAGTACAGACAGTACAGGCAGAGTCTGCTGCCTCAGAGTGAAGAGGAGCAACAGAAGGTACTTCTCTTTGGTGCTCTCGCTATGCACCTCTGCCAAGTAATGCAACCTTCATTTATGAGAGACTGCTCACCTTTTGTATGTAGGTGAAACAGGAGAAGCAAAGCACAGGTGGAAAGCTGCAGCAAGGGCTTTATAATAAGGGAGAGCGAGGCTTGTTCCTGCTCCTGCAGCTGTTGGGATGTTTAGGTAGCTCAGTGAGAGCACAGAAAAGCAAGACCTGATCTCTCTTCCAGAGACTCAAGAGAAAAGTGTGTTTCTCTGTCATGCTAATTGAAAACAGTTGAGGTCTCATAACCGAAAAGCCTATCAGCTAATTATCTAACTGGGAACATATTTCTCCTTCGAGTCTATCAAGGCTAATAAACAGTGATTCTCACAAGTCAGTTTATTAAATACTTGCTTAATCTATTGTTTGAACTCTCACGTAATCAAACTCAAACAGCTGAGAAGATTCTTCTGCAAAACTGTCTTTGCAGAAATAGTTCCACTGTGGTGGAATTTCTATATTTCAGCTGGGCTGGGCTGACCTGGAACCAGGCCACCCAAAATATTCTGTAGAGCTGTCAAAAACAAACAAACCAAGATCTTATGTCAGTTTTACAAGTAAACACACTATGAGCTATTTAAGAGAAATAAAGGCATTGTTATAACTTCAGAGGTAATACCCAGAACTGCAAGAAGGATAAGAACAGACATGCTTTTACCACTATATTACATAAGTAACCCTTTGAGCCAGTAAGAACTGAGTCAAAAAACTGGTTTACTTCTCTGAAGGAGGGAGAAAGTCCAGTGCTTATCTCATGGCACTCGAATCCAAATCTGAACACCCACACCAACCACTCAGCTTCTGCATCCACCTGCTTCTAACTTTTTCCCTCCCCAAAAAGTGCAGCTTATCTTAAACCAATACTCCTCTCTGCTCTGAGTATGTAAAACAGTGGAAATTCCAGAATAGAGAGAGAAAGCTCTGACTAGAACACAGCCTGCTTCTGTTACAAATATGAAATCACCTATCTGCCCATACTTTGACAGAACTAACGCCAACATCACAAACAGAGCCTGTCGGAGCAAATTCAGCTTCAGGGATGACACATGCTGCTGCCAGCAGCTACCTTCAGCAAAAAGATGGGGAAACGGGAAGGCACAGCCCAAAAAAAGAAACAGAATGAGGACAAACAGCCTTACAAAAAATGGTTCCTTTTTGTGGCGATGCTGAGTTTTGCAAAAAGAGGAAAAAGACAGCAAAAAAAGAAAAGAAGAAAAGCAAGCATAAGGAGTTCCTTAAAGAAAAGCTCTCCCTCCTAAAGTTCTCCAAGCAGCAGCTCCTCCTAAGGACTTCAGGGTCTAGCCCACACCTTCTCCATGCTCAGTTTCTAAGAATTAAGGTACCACTCCTAAACACTCTCAAGAGCATTGAGGAGCAGCAAGAGAATTCCTGTAGGAAAAGACCCAGAGCACGGCAGGCACGCAAGTCATTTACATTGTCTTGAACCGGACTAACAGTAGGGCAACCGTAGAACTCCATCACATGGTGTCTGATGGAGACCTGTTCTGCATTTGCCCATCTTCGCTTTTAAAAGAAAAGGGAAGGGGGTATGAGTAAAACACCTTTTCCCCCTGCTGGGTTCCCCCGATCTGATGTCCATGGACCCAGGCAAAGCCCCGGCATCACGGGTACAGCAGGCAGCGTGCCTGAGAGCATATTGCAGTTAGAGCAAAAAATAACCAGCACAATGAGGCCAATGCATTCTGCGGCCACTCCGAGCTTCACAGGAACTAGACAGAAAATATTTTAAAACACCTGAACAAACGAACAGAGGCACCAGCATTTAAAAGCCTTGTTTTGGACATCATAGCAAAGATGACCACTGGCAGAGATAAACACGTGTTACTTTCTCTCATAGTAAGTAACCCCTGTGATTTTTAGATGCTCCCTGTCAGGGCCCGGCACCTCTGCAGCTCAGCATGGACAACGCGGGACAGCCGGATCCGAGCAGCTCGAGCCCAGCCGGGTGCACCCCGAACTCCCGCCGCGCAGTCACCGGGACGGACTGACACCAGCAACGCCGGATCCGCTCTCGGGGCAGCCTGCGGGACTCCCTGCCTGCCCTCAACATGCACCGAGGCCGACCCGCTCCAGGGCTCCGTCCTTTGTCCCTTGTGTCGCGAGAAGAATCCCAAGCGGTGGGGGCGCGGGACCCCCACACTCACCGCGGGACGCCCCCGGGACTCCGCCGTTCTGTCTGGGGCTGCATCCGACGCGTGCCAAGCCGAGAGCGACAGCACCCCGACCGGCAGGGCTCAGCGCCGGGCTCCCCCCGTACCCCGCCGGGGGAGCAGAGGTAGGGGCGGAGCCCTGCGGAGGGGCGGGGCCATGGGTCCCGCCCCGCCCCGCCCAGCCCGTCCCGTCCCCGGCGGGGGCGCCCACGTGGAGTGGCGGCAAGCGGGCACCTCGCGCGGCGCTCCCCCATCTTCACTCACGTCCGTCGCTCCGCCGCGTGAGCAGATTGGCGGAGCCGGGCAAGCAGTGGGCGGGACTTGCTCGCGGAGCGGTCTCTGATTGGTTAGCGACGCCGTCGATCAGCACCCTGCCACTAAGGGAAGTGTTGGGGGGGCCGGCTCGGTCGGTAACGCCCGGTAACGCCCGCTGGGGCGTGGTGGGGATGGAGAAACAGCGCTCTGCCCGCCTGCAGCCGGGGATGGCCTGCGGCCGTGTCGGTGGCTTTTGGTCGCCTCGCCTCGCCTCGGGCTGTCCGGTGTTTGCCGGGGGGTGTTTTGTCTGCGTGCGGCCGTGGTTTTATTCCTAGGTGTGGCGGTGCAGTCTGCGGGCGTTATCGGCTGTCATAGAGCACGTGGAGATAGGATTTAAACGGAGAGAGAACCCAGTAAGGCATGAGAAGCAGTTCCGGGCCGTTCTCCCATGGCCAGGGCGGCAGTGCGTTGGCTACGGGGTTATAATAAAATGGTTTTGAAAGTGCAGTTGAAAAGGCGATATCAGATCTGGAAACACTTCACGTTGTGCACAGCCCCTGCACCTGAGTGGATAAGAAACAACCCAGGAGGTTGGGAGGAAGGTGCTCTGCTACATCTGTGTTAAAAACCCCATCCTTCTTGTGTGTTTGCTTTTTAGTGCAGTTTCTGAAAGAGGGCCAATGTCATCTCTGGTTCTTTCATATTGATTCATACAGCTGCCCATAGAAAGATGCCTGGCTGTCCTTTTCTTTTACTCCTTCCCATCTCCAGTCCTCTGTCTCCTTTGCTCCCTTTGCCACAGCACAGCTGTGAGGCACTTGAGAGTACTAAGCTGATGCAGCTCATCTAAAGGACAGAAAGCTCAAGCTTTTTTTCCTGGAAGAGCTGTCTGTTTTGTTGCTGATTAGATGGTCTCAGGGCACGATCCATTGTTAGAGTCAGCACTGTGTAATATCATCACCTAGGTCTCCTCCCTTTCCAGAATGGACTGAGAATCCAGTATTTAAGCATTTAAGCATAGAGCATTTAAGCTCTGTTGTTGAACTTCTTACTTATATTGCCCAACACTATGCATGCAGTCTGCAGCAAAGCTAGCAAAGTGCTCGTGGTAGGACTTTCTGTCATGCCCTCACAGCTAGCATAGAACTAGAAATGGGAATAAACAGCTCTGGATGGCTGTTGCATGCTTCTGGGCTTTAGTCTGTTGAAAAAGAAAACATTACACTTGCTTACAAAATCATAGCATGGCTTTCTGTGACAGAATCCTTCAGCTATGGCAGGAGCAAAGAGCTTTGTGTGGGCTGTTGAGGCAGTTATGTATGTCCTGGCACATCACCTTGTCCTGCTGTCCTTGTTCCCATCAGCGACCTTAATGCTCTCACACCTGAGTTTCCTTCCTGTGGAATCTAAGTGGAAGGGCTTGTAGCGTGGGTCACCTGCAGCTCCCAGGCTAGCTATGACCATAATGGAAGATAGTACAGTATGTTAGGTATGGTGCTGTAATTACAAATCTAGTAATTATCCTGTGTATCTGGTCTCCTATGATCAGCAGCCCACGCGTCACCCCAGAGAAAACAAGCTGCATTTTGAGAAACAGCAGAACTGCAGGAAAATGCAGATAGCATTAGCTTGTTTGTTTTTAAAGGGGACATCAAAGCATTGGAGTCTGAAGATATCTATGATCCAAGGAAACACTGCTTTGCCTGTTGAACATGTCAACTCCAGCTCTCCTACCTGCAGTGCAGATAAGCAAGTTTGTCCAGCTTTCTCTGTAAAGGAGAAGCTGGGAGGGGGGCAGGATTTCTGGAAGAGTTCTTATAAAGCAGGGTCTTGATTGAGAAAATAGAGCTCCTTTTGTAAGCATGTGTCTCATGCAGAGTTTTGCTAAACTCAGAGGGACTTCAAGCAAAAGTTTGCATAAACAGATGTCTTTGCTCATAGTGTTGTCTGCACTGCATGTAGATGAAAGGATTTCACAGTGTGAAAAGGAAAGCTGGAGTTTGCCTTCACAATCGTGGAAAAGAATCCATTTCCTTTTCTTATGATAATCTAAAAAATGCATGTAGGAAATAGTTTTGTTAGTACGATTTATTTTCTAGTTCACGAGCAGAGCTGAAGCTCTGAAGCTCGGGGAGAAGCATGTTTGTAGTGTCTGGAAACAAAAGGAGTTTTCACTAATGATCTCGGGGAGCTGAAGCTGGCTTCAAGCTGTTCAAGTCATGAGAGGATGACTCAGAAGTCAGAAATTTGAGGCATTCTTATGTCTAGCATTTAATCAACAGGCAAAGCATTGGCAAGTAAGGAGAAGAAATCAATGGCAAATCAAAGGATAATAGGTCAGCTATTCATTAGAGAAAGGGTTGATCACCAGTATATTAACAGAAAAGGGGGCATGAAATTAATCTTAAAATTTGAACTAGTGGTGGCTGCAATGAGCTGATGGTCAGAGAGCTTTTTAAAAAAATACACAACTTTCCTGTGTGAAAGGCTATTCTCAGTGCTCTGCATTCTGCATTTACATCAGTCAGATCCCCGCTGTATATGTTATTCAGACTTTCCAAACACAGTGCAACTCTTGCAGGGGTTTGTTTGTAAGATTTGTCATTGTATATACAGTCATCTTAGGCATTACACACGAGATGATAATAATCTGCTCTCTATTAGCATTCACGCTGAAGCAAAATCTTATTTTGTTGTGTTTTCAGTGCATGCTGGAGCTTGATTTTGCTGGCGTTCCCTATTCCTAGAAAATTATCAATGGCTTCATTGTGAGTATTCATCACACCAAGGCTTTCATGATTAACGTTGCAAAATCAGGTTTAATTTTGAGCTCTGGAACAGAGAATGCGTTTTTTTCCAACTTTAAAATACCACATTTATCTATAACAGTATGCAAACAACAAACACCAAGAAAATTGCGTGCAGGGTAGCTTATGTGCTAATAACAGTATTTGTTATTAATTATAAGCAGTCATTACACCAAAAGCTGTGTAGAATCTGTAGTTATAATTAGTGAATTTTGAGACATCAGTTTACATTAAATGAAAAACAAATGCTTTGTGTAGTGAGCACCAACCACATGATGCTGCAGGCAAGGCCAAGGGTTGGCACTGGAGCAAAAAAATGGTTGCAGGCAGTTCAGGTATGGCTCATGTGCCATGTGACTGGAAGGAAATATGAAACATTGCTTTTGTACCCTATTGTGTCTTGTGTTTTACAAGCAGTATATATTGTATCTTTAATCTTCAAGAGTCCTGGTATCCTTCCTTCAGAGAGTGTTTCTTTCGTTTGCTGTTGAAACAGATACACCCTCATGTATTTGAGAACAGCTGCTTAATGGTGCTCCATAGTGCTGCAAAGCTTTGGAAAGCATATAAGGAATCTGGATAGGAGGATGGGCTTGTAAATCAAATCTGGCTTAGCTCATAGCCTTGACAGTGTCTCTGTGAGACTGCATTTACTGAAGTGATCATACGCTTCATATGAGTTCTAAAACAGAACAGAGAAGCTGAGTCTTTCAGTAACCCTAAGTCATTAATATCATTATAAGCTCATGATTTTATTTGAACTCTGACCACATTCCCAGAGCCCTTTCTCGCTACCTTTTATGCTTCAAGATTTCCTAACCCCAGCTCTGTGCACGCCCAAACCTGTATTCATTACGCAGCCGCCTGAGATCACAGCTGGTGGTGACATGGCTGCTGGCCACGGGGAGTTTAAATTGCCTACTCTCTGATGGGACCTGTTCAATAGATATTTGTCTGTACAGGTGCTCTGGCAAGATATTATCTGTAATTAAATACACACAAAGTGCATAAGGTGTTGATATGAGTTCGCTTTAGGGGTCACATTAATGCCACTTCGATGGCACATTAATGCCACTTCGATGACCTTACATAAAATGTAATAATCTCTAACAGTTCTTCCTCAGTGGTCATAGTTAATTTTTGCTACGGTAATGACACAGAAGGAGTTGACTTATCCAACCATGCTCTATGGTTTGAACTGTGAATTTTGGTTATGTTAACTTTGAAACCTTATCAGTGCTGTTAATTCCCTGCCTGGGGTTTCTTAGTGCTCACTGTGTTTGTGTTTCAGTCACAGCATTAATAACCTGCATGGCAAACATATGCTTCACACTGTCCATTCACTGCTTAAGGAAAAAATATTTCCTGCTGTCAATTCCATTCAAGTTTTCTTCTCTTGGTCCCTAAGGGCAACAATCCTGCCAAAGCACTACTCCCCAACAGTCATGGCCTCTGCTGTATCTGATGTGTTTTCACACAGATGGTGCATTTCACGCAGACTTTGCTCTCCATTTTGTTTTCTGCTAGCTGGGTACTTCTTTTTGCTGTTTTTTTTTTGGAATTACTTTCTGTAGTATTCTTTCCCTTTTTTTCTTTTTTCTTTTTTTTTTTTTTTTTTTTTTTCCTCTGGCTTAAGTATTTCTAATGGAAAAGTAAAAAATAACACCACTGTCTAATAGGAACAACTAGGTTTGGATTATAAAAACTAAATGACTTTTAAAATACTTTGGAAATATATTCCCTTGTTAAGTTTTTTCTTTTTCTTTTTAATGCCAATTATAGGTTTTATTTTTCATCTGATTTTCTGTTTTCCATTTTTGTATTTTTCATTTGCGTTTCTGTGTTCTTTCCTAGATCAAATGATGGGGCTGCCCGAAATTACAAAGTGTTAGAGTATTGTTAAAGAGGCAGCTGAACCAGGAGATTCTTCTGCAAAATCACTGGGGCTTTCCATGGCAAAAGCATTATCCTTTCCTGGTCTTTTTTTTTTTTTTTTTTTTAATATGTGT